GCGCGGAGCGGTCCCCCGCCGCCTCCCCCGGCAGCGCCGAGACTTTGCGGGCGGACGCGGGGCCCGGAGCCAGGAGCGGGGCCGCGGGATCCCGACTCTGGGGCAAGCCGCGAGCGCCCGTGGATTACAGCTTTGGAGCAGAGCGCCCCTGCGCTCGGGCGCGCGTGCTCCGACGGCTGGCGCTTCGTTAGACTAGGCTGGGCGGGGCCTTCCGGAACAAACAACCCTTTCCTCAGGTGGGGGGCTACAGGGTGGTTACCCCGGCTTCTCCGTCCGCGTGAAAAGGCGCACAGTTCGGCCGGACGGCGCTGCCAAGGGGCCCCCCTCCGCGGTCAGGGCTGCAGCCACCCGCGGCGCCGCGGAGCGCAGGGCCACAAACTGGCCTTGGCTCCTGCTGCCCGGCCCGGAGCAGACACAGTGGTGCTTGTTCGACTTCCCTAAAGTAGAGCTGCGACTTTCCTGCCGTTCCTCGGGGTCCTGCCCATGTTATAAATGGACTTCAAGGAAGCAAAGAAAGCCAGAATTCAAGACGAGAATTTGCTGGGGCTGTGCGGGCTGTCCACATGAATTTCCAGCAAGTGGGGCATATAGTTTTCAGACTTTTGAAAGAGCAATTTTGAATTGGTGGAACCTCACCCGTGACTGGGTGCCGGTGACTGTCACACCAGAGTGACCTGTGTCATGGAATTTATAAACTCTTCATGCGGAGGTGTCTATTTGTAATGGGCCAGGAGAGTAGAGGTTAAACACGGTTTCCCTCTGTCTTACTCCTAAATGTACTGTCTTTAAAAGTGGGGAGCAAATGGACTCTGGATTTATTTGTCTTCTGCCTGGGTGGAAAACCACTTGTGCTCATTTATAGTGGGTGTGGTGTATAATCTCTGTTTGTATCTTGATTCTAGTATTGTTTTTTTTTTTTCTCAACACATTTCCTCAGAGTTTAATTTTTTTTATTAACATATCCTGTGAATATCTTCAGAAGCAGTGCTCAATGTTAAAGAACATATTGCTGGGTGTGAACAGCCTTCACGTTTTCCGGTCTGAAAGGTGCAGTATGTAGATGTGTGTGCAGTACTAGTTAGTGGGAAACAAGACTGTGTGTCCTTGTGAATTGAGAGGGAATGCAAGCGTTAGTAAATGAGAGGTGGGATGTTTTGTCTGTTGTTAATGGATACCTGAATGCAAATTCTGACATTTTATGTAGAGGGTGCTCACTATACCGTTCTCACAGAAGTGGTATGTGGACTTGATGCTATCGCCAACCGCCCTGTCTCTGTGGTGTGCTAACCAAATACTGTAGTATAAATTTGGAGGCATCTGGCAGCTTCCTGTTGAGACAGAGGTCTGTTAAGATTTTACCTGACTTCCTCTTTATACCTTAGGGGAGTCAGACTCCTTTGCCATGCACTTTCCCCAGGAATGCCTTTGTCCTTCAGCAAGTCTTCTTTAAACCAAGTACAGTGGCCACATCCCTTAAAAAACAGGCACATGATCCACTCCAGAGGGCATCAGAATGGTGCCGTTTTATTTAACCTTCCCTATTAACAAAATAGTTAATCCTGGTAAAGTGAGGCAGTCACAGTCTTTTCCCCCAAAGAAGAATTATTCAAGTGTTGTTCTTACAAATAAACTAGCAGATGTAAAATAGCCTAATGAAGCAAGTAAGAAGACTCGTGGGACAAGTTCTGAACTGAGTGGTGGGGAATATAGAAGTGCAAGTCCAGGATGATGGTATTCACAGACTAATTTCCTCACCTAATCACTCCTCTGTCAGTAAAGGGAAATCTTGACCTTTTAAAGCGTTGTTAAAAAAGCAGGTTGGCCTCTTGTGGCTCCAGTTTTCAAAGTAAAAACAGTGGCCAAAGAGAGCCTTGTTAGCCATAAAAATAGAAAGCTGGCTCTTCCCTGTAGGCTGTTCTTTTTAGCTGAGGCCTACAGTTTAAGTTCCCTGCGTCAGTTCTGAGGAATTTAAAGACACTTTAGAGAGCACTCATTTCAGGTGTTAGGGGCTCATAGAAAAAAGTAACTTCGTTTCTGGGCTTTATTATTCTTAAAATCAGACTGCAATAGTCTGTTCAATATCAGATATTTCAAGCCATGTTTTTGGTTTGTTTGCTTTGGCAATCATCTTTGTTTTTTCTTCCCATTTTGAGCCTCCAGCCAAGCTGTCTACCGTTTTTGAGGTTGGGCCTGAGCCCCCTTCTTCCTGGTATGAAGTGACTACAGAAGAGGCACACGGCCCACCTTCCTTTCCTCTCAGCTGGGTGAGCTGCTTCCTTTCTTCTCCTGTGACAGTTGTGTTTCGTTTTTTTCTCCTTGACTGTATTGTAGTGGCTTCAGCCAAAACATCTGCCAGGCATGAATCGTTCATTTATGAGGCTGAAGAGTCTGGAAAATTGTCCTTGGGCTAATAATTCTAGGAGACACGCAATGTAAATGATGGGCTTAAAAATAATACCACCTCTCCCAGTTAGAAGAGTTTTCTAGAGATGGTGTGAGTCTAGGGATTCACCAACATGATGCAAGGTAGCAGGTGCAAAATTAAGATAAGCTCAATGCGTTGAGGGGAAAATGATATTTATGTACTTACAGTATAACTTCTTTTACTTAGGAAGAGTCATCAGCATGCCCCTATTAAATCAGATACTTACTAGAAATGTTAGAGAAAGAGTCTTAGGAAATTCCGTGATCCCAGCCATCTTCCCTAGCTTAACTGCATTTGGAGTCCTGTACTTCTGAGCAATGACGTTTCCCTTGTACTTATCTCTGTCACTGAGAGCAGATTCCCCTGGTATCAAAAGGAGTGTGGCTTGTTGAGAACGAGACATCTGAAACATGCAGCTGCAGTTCTGCTTTCTGGTAGTCTAAGGCAGCAATGTGGTAATCGGGGATGAGTTATTAGGAACTTGGTGTCATGATTATCTTTAGGGAAATTCCTAAAAATTTAGCATGTTCATCTTTTATGGGTGGCTCTAATAGAAAATGAAAAGCCCCTCTGGCTTTTCTTCAGGGTATGTCTTAGGATTTCAATGCCGTGTCATTCATGTTGGGAGATACGTGAAACGTAGCTAAACTTTCTTTCTTGGCTTCCCCCAACTTCCTGTCTTTGGGGCCCAGCAACCCAAGAGCCACCATAAACTGCATTGTTTTTCTTTCTCTCTTGTAAGACTAGCAAATCATGAGGCAATTTGCTCATAGTAGGAGCTGGAGTGGAAAGATCGTGTGACAGGTGTTAGGACTGGTCCAAACTCTTCCATCCGCTGAGTTGTCCCCGACAGTCATCCTGGGGACAGCATGGCCACTGTTGTAGAAAATTACAGAATTTAAGTTTCTGTGCTTATCACCGTTCGCTCTCTAACCCGTACCCACCACACACAAACTAAGGGCAAGGGAAAACTTCACGGCCTAGTTCCTGTTAGACTCTTTTTGAAAAAGCTTAGTTTAACCATAGCTGATAAGTTCACAGATGTTAATCGCATCTGTGATTAACCGATGAAGAAAGCAGGGAAAACTTGATAAAGAAAATTAAGATCACCATAATATATTTCACAGAAGTTACCATGGTGTGTTTTGTCCTTGTTTGCTGATTTCTGCACTTCTAGACTGTTCAAAATGTTTGTATATAATCATAAATGCTAACTGTTTTGAAAAATATAATCTCACTGTGTCAGTTTTATAATTTAAAAGGTATTTAACAGTATGTTACAGACATTTTCAAATTAATACATAGTTACAGATAGACCTGCAGTTAATATTTTTGTACCATCTTTCTGACAAGATATTTAAAAATTTATAGTATAAATCCACAAAAGTTTGACTCCTAGATCACTGATTCTCTTAAAAATAACACCCAAGTACTCTTCAAAATTTACATTTCCTTTAACGGAGTTTGCCTTCTATGCTTGATAAATAAAAATTAAGATAGATTTTTACCAACCTGATTGTTAGCAAATTTTTATTGTTAGTAAATAACCAATGGCTTGTTCAGATCCTTTGCCTGTTGTGCTGGGTTGTCTTTTCTGTATTAGTAGTTTGGAGAAATTCAGCAGGGAAAAGAGTAAACTTATGGCTGCTTAAATATATTGGAGGCTTTCTTTTGCAGTCTGTCTTGTAACTTTTTGAAGTCTTGAATTTTAGGTTAAGGTCTGTCAGTCATTTTCTTGACTTCTGAATTTTGTCTTATTTTTAGAAAGGCATGCTAAATTATTTTAAAAATGCTATATCCTAGACTTTTATCAACAGTATTTTCATGTGTTTAAATTTCATATTATTTGGCATTCAGTTTGAGGGAGGACTCTAACTTTCTAATGGATAGCAACCTGCGGTGGTAACAATTCATTGGGTAGTTCTTTTTTTGGAAAGACATTAGGAATAGCGAATAAAACAAAACAAGGTTTCTATCAGCAAGCCGGGCAGCCTATTTACCTAGAACTCTCTAATGCACCTTGGCTAAGCAAGACTTTGATGCATTTTTAATTTAGTTCTTCACATCAATATTCTAGATTTTCTGTTATTTTATTGCTGTAACAGTATCACTGTTACTATTATTTGATATTAAAACAAGGAAAAGTTAGAACCTTGTAGTGTCTCATCCATTGACTTGTTTGTTTTTTCAAAGGAATATTCACTGAACACCTGTTATGTGTGAGGCAGTCTGGAGTCTCCGGGGTAGACAGGGAGAAGTAGGACTGGAGCTTCACAAAGCCTTCTGTATGGAAGATCGATAGAGATTTTGACACTGAGTATGAAGGAAATTGAGGGAGGTGAGAGGCGGTGATGAGGCCACATGTAATGGAGTGGTCAGGGAGTCCACTCTGAGAAGGTGATGTCTGCGCTAAGAAGTAAAACGTTAGCAGAGGGAAGCAGATATACAAAGAGCTGGGGAAAGAGCGGGGAGTAGTTGAAACAGCAAGTAGAATTATCCCCCCCATGGGAATTTCCAGGGAGGGAATGAAGCCAAGATATATTGAGGAAACAGAAGAGAAAGTGTAGGAAGGAGCAGGCAGGGGTCTTGTAGGCAATCACAGGACATGGTAAGAGAGTATTTTACATAGGGAAATGATACTTTGAAATTAATTAGTTTTAAAATTTCCCCTCTAGGTATGATCTGGTGGAGCACTGAGAAATCAAGGTACTTGGACCAGGAAGTCACCATGGGAACAGAGAGAGGGAGATGATCAGAGAGATGATGTGGTTGGAAGGGAAATTGAACAAATTGGAAGAAAGGGAGAAATCAAAACATGAACTTAAAGCAGTGGTTTTCATTCTTTGCCACACTTTAGAATCATCAGAAGCTTAGCAAAACCTTGATGCCCAGTTCATATTTCATACCTATTATATCAGAGTGTCTAGTAGCTGGAAGCCAAGCATTGAAAAAGTTTAAAGCTTTTCAGGTGATTCTGTTGTGCAGCCTGTGTGGGGAACCACTGCGTGGATAGTGGGTGTTGTGGTTTGGGGGACAGTGCAAGGGGAACAGTATAATACAGGACACATGTTTTATAAGATTATTTATAATAGTCATCCAAAGAATCACATACAAGAGAGTACAGGAAATTTGTCCACACACTAAAGACCAAAGAATCTAGCTGAGGGCCTGGATCCCACAATAATGTCCTACGTGAGTCCAGCTGAAGACCTGGAGCCCATAACAATGTCTCATGCAGGCCTGTTTCAGGAATCTGTGCTGGGAAGGCCCAAAGGTCAGTGTTGGAATCTAGAAAGTCTGCGCCAGTGGGATGAAGGATCTGTGCTAGCAGACAGGGATCTACACTGGAGCCAGGAAGTGATGCTCAAAATAAGAACCAAAGCTCCCCCGAAAAGTACCACAGCCATCTTCAGTGACGGTGAGGTCCCAGGCTCCTCTGATGATCAGGAAAGCCAAGTTCCCATCAGGAAAACCAATGCGACAAGCTTCTCCAGGAGACTGAGCAGTGGACCATCTTCCCCTTTGGAGCCAGGAAGCGATGCTCAGAGTGAGGACCAGAGCTACCCCAAAGTGAACCGAAGCCATTCTCAGGGACAACAAGGTCCCGAGCTCCTTGGAGGATGAAAACAGACAAGTTCATCAGGAAAGCCAGCATGACAAGCTCCTCCAAGAGAACCAACATCTCCTTACAGTTTCTCTCTGCTCCCAACAGGCTCCCAGCAGCTTCTACCAGCTCCTAACAGCCTAACTTCTTCTTTTCCAATTCTGCCTCTTATGCTGCTGGCAACAATCCTCAACTGAGTAAACACCCAGCACCATGTTTACTCAGTTCAGCTGGGTGTTATAAGTTGACCACCAATTGTCCACCCACAGTGGGTAATGTGTGGATGAATATGTGCAGATGGCTGCATTGAGAAGAGGGTGGAGGGGCAGGTAGAGGGCGAGGTGGATGGAGCCTCACTCCGAAAGCAGGTTAGATAAAGGAGTCTGTTCTTGAAAGAGATTTGCTGGAGTTGCTAAATGCAGTCTCCATAAAGAGGAGAGTTGAAGCCACAAGACTGGACACACTCTTCTAGAAGAGAAGACAGAGAGTTGAAGGTGTGTGGCCCATGCCCTGCCCCCTAAAGGTCAGATGGAGGAGGAGCCAGAAAAGAGAGGCACCCATGAAGTAAGAGGAAAGCCAGAGGAGTGGAATTTTCTGGAAGCTAAGAGAAGCAGTTTCATCAGTTGTATGTAGTGCTGAGTAGAGTTCGTTGGAATCCACAACAGGAGCCGGTTTACTCTGAGAAGTTTCAGGACCAACAGAAATGGAAAGCTGGCATTTGTTTTAGAGGATCTGAGGCTCAAAGACACTTTGAGGAAGGTATATTGGCTTCCTGTTACTATGTGTATGATTTTTATTTTTCTTTGCATTTGGTAACATGACCATGTAGAATGTCTGTTTTCTAAAATGTCACCCATTTTTAAATTCAAGAAGTATATTAAACATAACATTTTTTTCTTCATTCCCATCTGTTTTGTAGACCCCTACCCTTTAAGAGAAATTAACTTGGGTCAAGAAGGAACACTGGCCAGGGGGTTGGTAAAATTGGATTTTTGTATTTGGGGGCAGGTTGCAACCACAAAGTATCGAAGTTACTTCCTGTACAAGATGAGACATCAACAAGTAACCTCTCTGGTGGAGGCTTTCAAACTTCATTGCATACTGGAATCACCTGAGGGGGCCGGGGATATAGCTCAGTGGCACAGCGCCTGCCAGGCAAGTGTGAGGTCATGAGTTCAATTCCGGGTACCAAAGAAAAAAAAAAACAAACGAAAGAAAACAACCACAAGAAAAAC